TTGGAGGGTATCATTTTTAACATAATAAGTAAATACAAGCCATCATTATTACAATAGTAAAAATAAATAAATTATATAGTATTATATATATATATATATATATATATATATATATATATTGTTAATAATAAAATTAATCATTATCCGACCATCTTTGTCCTTAAATTTAATGTCATTTGGCCATTTATATTGTTGTTGTCAGTTGTCACAACCGGTTAGTACCGTACAGTACCCTTAAATGGTTAAATTAATTTATTCAATATTTTTCAGAAATTTATTTGTGAGATATCAAAACTCATTTCTATTTTTCAAATTAAAATAAAATAAATTGATAATAATAAAATAAAAATAATAATACAAATAATAAAATACTAATAAAAAAAATGAAAAGCATAATACCAGAGGTATCGTATAGAGAGGCTATGGCTTCCTTCAAAGAAAATTAATACCGAATCTAGACTGGATTATCAAGTTAATGAAACAGAGACCGCTGAGATCAACCTTAGTTTTCAGGTAGTAAGTGAGAACAATTTATAATATAAAAATAAAAAAGATACAATAAAAGTGTAAAAATAGTTTATTTTGCATATCTCTCTTTCATAACTTTTTTTAGTGTTTAGAAAATTTTACATAAGTTCATTTACTTTTTTTTAGTGTTTGAAAATTTTAACATAAGTTTCATTGGGACGGCTTTTTTAATGCATCTTTGGAGCAGCTTTTTAGTACAAAAAAAAATTAATTTTTATAATAAAAGCTTGCTTCAAAAGATCAGGAAAAAAAATATCCCAAACGAAGCCATAGTTGGATAAAAATAGCATTGATGCGAAGTAAGGCTTTTTCGATTTTTGGAGTGGCAATTGCGTGAAAAAATGAATGGTGGGGGCAAAACGTAAAATTCATGGGGACAAATTACGAATATCCTTACTAAATCCTAAGATTTTTATTTTTTTTAAAAGGGGCCCCTCACACTCCACAATTAAGCCCTACATGTAAAGGTAGATGGGAAGGGAGGGATCGAGTTTTTGGGGAAGAAGAAGAAGAAAGGGGCATCGTTTGAAGAGAAGGTAAGTGAAGTTTGGGACTTAGAAGCGGATGAAGGCAACTGAATCGCTGGGCATCGTCAACCAAGAATTTCATTTTTCACATCCAAAATTAGTGAAACCAAAAAGTGCCGTGATTCATCTCCAATCGAACGCCATTTTGCCCCTTACTGTCGCTCTATTTCTTTCGTGCCTTTCTTCCCGCAAGTTGGAGAGACAAAAAACGACGCAGATAACACGTGCAAACGATCAATGGCGGAGAAGGAAATGCGTTCTGTTGCGAACATTTGGGAGCCTCCATTCGATTGTTTGCGAACGATTGGAGGATGATCATGAGAAAAAAAAATAACTTTCCTCTTTATAATGATTCATCGTTACTGACTGTTACAGTGGCCTTAACCAAAGCACAGATACAAAATCCGCCTTGCCTATAAATGTACTTCAAGCTAATAAGTTACAATTTGCCTGTGGTGCGGGCCCATGGCCTTCGTGGCCCGGCCCATCCCAATACATAAGTTTTATTAAAATGGCAGATCTAAGGGCAGCTTTAACTGGTTTTTTTTTTTTTTTTTTTTTTTATTTTTTTTTTTTTTTTTCAGATTTCAATAAATCTTTGTTAAACTAAAACTTGGGCTCTTCAGACATTTTCTTATCTGCTCGTTAAAGCAAATTTTTTAATAAAAAAATTTAATAAATTATAAATTTTGTTACTAGAAAATTGTTTTAAAAAAGTTATATAAAATGTGCAATCTGATTGGCGTCTCCGATTGCCGTCTGAATGGACCGCATAACAAAGTAATTTTTTGTCGTATAAGAGTATGTTTAACTTTGAATTTCCTAATAAAATTTCAACCGTTACAGCAAAAGGCGTCTCAATATTTAAGAATAAACCACTCATAAAATTATATTTATTCTTATATGTTCACAAATTAATTCTATGCATTAATAAATCATGCGGAGGAAGTATAATTTCTCGTCAATGAATAGAATCAGTGAAACTTAATTAGTGGCTGTACGATGAGTTGTAAATATAATGGAAGAAACCGCATTGGCAGAGGAGTGGAATCCAAGAGTATGCTGACTGCAAATGGATGTAGTGGGATTCAAAAACTTTGTAGCCTATATTATTGACCACAATTATGAAACTAAAAGTCCTAAAACTAATGAAAGCTATATATAATAAAAAAAACTAAGCTAACATTCATCATAATAAATGATTGTTCGTTTATCCGGAAAGCATCCAAGAGTACCTTTTAATTTTAAAATAATCCTAACAAATTAATAAAATTGCAGCTTTTCAGCTTTTAATTTTTTAAGTCACCTAAATATTAAAATTAACTAGAAAACATAACCCATACTTTTCTTTTTATATCAAAGATTCCCAACAATTTTATAAACTCATACACGCTTTTATAGATAAATCGCATACACTAAAAACTTAAGTAGGATCCTATCAAGTTTAAGGGCCCCCACCCCCCCAAAAACCGGAGGCCCGATCCTTTCAGAGTAGTTGGCTTAAGCCGACCAACTTGGGGGTAAAAGACCAACTCCCATGTTGGATCACAACCTGCATACTCTCCTTAGGAGTTCAAACATATGGGCATTGTTCTCGGCGAGCTCCTCCCAATGATTGTTCACACTACGCTTTTGTCTTGAGAGGCACTCGACCCAAAACGCATTCTCCCATAGCAGTTGTCACCAAATTCACTGGCCAATCGCCTATTGGAACATTCCCATTCCAAACAACATATGAAGTCTGCGCACACCTTTACAAACTCATATTACGCTTCACTAATCAGATTGTCCCTACTCAAATCAGTAACTCTATAACAGGAAGATTGTTTCTCGTTCCTAAGGAACTAGACTTCACATAGTTGTTGTAGTTGCTAGAATCTTGAAAGAGTCGCTCCATTGCCTTGTACTCGAAGCGTTCACTCAATTGCACTAAACTAAGAGAAGTGGATCATGTCAAAAGAAAGGGGCTTCGCATGCAAATCATCTAAGTTTGTATCAGTGTCAGTCTGCATTCAGTCTCATGTTCGATTTTTTAAATCTATTCTAATGTAAATTAATTTTGTAGCCATATCTTATAAATAAGGGTTAAAAACAATACATTTTGAGCTATATGTTGTTGGATTTAGTTGCAAGATATTAGAGCTTTTAATTTGTTGTAATCTCATAAACTATTGACTTTATTCTCTAGATCTAACTCATAAGGATTTTGTTAGTTAAAGCTGAGTATTATTTTGAATAAATTTTGAATGTAACATATTTTAATATGACATGCATAAAAATATGAATTCCTTAAAAATAGTATATGTTATAAATTTTGAATGTTATGGTTTTTAAATTTTTCTAAATAAATAAATCTTTGTCAATGAATACAAAATGTTCAGCAAGCTAACCAAGAAGGGGGGTGAATTGTACTTTAAAAAATGTCTTTTACAACAAAAAGCAGTAAGATCACAAACCAAAATCACACCAACGAGAAAAGTAAATGCCGGAAATTTAAGTGCGGAAGCAAGAAAAATAATTAACAAAGCACAATTTATAGTGGTTCGGTCAACTTGACCGTATGTCCACTCCTTAGAGGCATCCTCCAAATATTGCAGCTAACAAAACGTGTCTCTCCTTAGCCCCCACGGCGAGGCGGAGAAGCTCTTACAAAGAAGTCCTTTTTGCCACCCTTGCAAGGCAGAGAACTCATCTCCTTTTCATTCCTCCTGAGCTGGCAGAGAACCACAATCCAATGGCTGAAAACCTTACCTCTACCACCCTTCCACAGGACAAGAAAATCTTGACAAGAAAAGCAGAGCGACCTTGAAGCACCCTTGTGAATCCCTCCACAAGCTCCCCCTCACAATATCCTCCTCTCTTCCCCCTCTCTATCTTCTTTCTCTCCTCAAGGCCTTCTCAGGTCAAGGCCAGAACAGCAAAAGAATTGTTCAAAACGATTGAACAAGAGCTCTTAAATAGAAGAGCTTCCAAAAGAAGCCCTCATTAATGCAAGTTGCCCACTATACGTCCAGGGCCGATATGGAC